CCCCAAAACCCCAAAACCCCAAAACCCCAAAACCCCAAAACCCCATTTCTCAAAATCATAATTTAATTTAGTTGAAATTATAGTTAAATTATAATCAAGAAAATATGAATTCAGCAGAAGGTGGTGGTGTAGATTAGACTCTAATACAAGAAATAAAAAAACTCGAAGAAGCAGCCAGATAATTTTAACTGGAGGTAACTATTGAAATAATCAAGTTGTCTTATTCATAATAATAGAGTAAATATGTTGAGGCTATTGGAATACTAGAGGAGTTGCTTAAGATTAAGAAAATGAACTTTGGGACAAATAGCAAACAGGTAAGTTATAGAACTATCTAATCTGTTAAAAATATCTGAATATTTAACAATGCCTTTGTGAAGACTTTGATACTTACTTGATAATTCTTTAGTTCACTAGAACATGCAAACAACTTTGTGAAATATGCAATATATTGGCAGTATATTACTTGAAAAAAGAAGATGTTAACAGTGCGTTAGATTTGCTTAAAAAATCAGAGGAGTTATGTGAAAATAATGAGTTAGGCCAGGCAATGACATTCAACAATATGGCTTGCTACTATAGAAGGTAAGCATACTTTTGGATATAAATCATATTTCCTTCTATTAAAAAGAGCTTATTCACTAACTTTGATGTTTAGAATTGGAAAGATGAGAACTGCTTTGAACTTTTTGCAAAAAGCACTTTCAATTGAATCAAGATTGCAAAGACCAGAAATCCAAGCTGATACTCATTTGAACATTTGTGCAGTCCTCTCTCAACTCAACAAGCATGAACTAGCACTCAATCATGCAATGTCTGCTGTGATTCTGCTACAAGAAATTATGCTGAGAAAGAGATTAGACCCAGCTTCTAATTCAGATGAGGAAGAAGAATACTAGACTACTGCTCTTGGTGATGCTAATTAAAAAGACAGAACTGCTGTACTTGCCATTGCTTATCATAACATGGGTGTTGAGCAGGAATTTCTGAGATCATACCCAGCTGCTATATTGAGCTACAAGAAGGCAGTGAACTTTGCTGAGAAGCATCTTGGATTTGAAGATGGTATCACATAGAATCTGAGAAATGTTTATGAAAATGCTAAAAATGAGGTAAGTTCACATCATATAAAATTAATTTCCTTCATTGTTCAATTAAAATTTGGTTTTAACGAAGTTATTATATAGCTGGATGTTGCAGTGTTTAAGAAATCAAAAAAAGCTGGAGCTACTGCTGGAGGTAAAGGTGTCCAAGCGAGTAAATACTATCAAGGTACTAAGCCTAAGAAAGGAGCATCTTCTAAGCAACCAGCTGAAATGTATGATAATATGATGACACCTAGAAATGTAAGTTCCAAATATGGTTTAACTTATGCAATTATAGGAAATGGAGAGGGTAGATGAGGCTGAAGAGGAAATGCATGGATTGGATGATAAATTAGAGGAATAAAAGGAATAAACCCTCGATTGAAAGGGACTTATATCACACACAAATATTTTCATTCTCATTGCAAGCAATAATAATTTTAGCAAATATTTACTTTATCATAAAACTTAAATCTCAAATTTGAATATTGAAACTTGGGGTTTTGGGGTTTTGGGGAGATCGGAAGAGCACACGTCT